GAAACTTTCTGCCCCGCCCCATTCATAAAAAATTGCGGGAAAACCTGTTAGGTTCGATTGTACTACATCGTTCTGCTTGAACCTGAAAAGATATAAAACAGCGCTGCTGTCGTGCCACTGCTTATTACCGCTTCGGACGGCGTGGCACTTGGTCCTGAAGCAAGCAGGACCAAGTCAGCGGATAAAAAGGTGGATCACGACGTGACCACCAAATTGGAAATTATGTATGTACCCCCTCCTCCCGAACATCTCCCCCCCCCCCCCTCCTTAACAACAACCACCCGGAAAAGACATGGTATTTATTTATTTTGTCGTCAATCAGATGTAGACCATTTTTTACAAGTTACAAGTCATGTATTAAAATTACGAATAGAATTAAAGTACTGCTTTAATCTGGTTTTCGTCATTGTTAAATCAATGGAGGGACTTCGGATGTATTTTTGTGCAAAATATGTAAAAAAGGAGGGACGTCGGATGTTAACCTAAATGCATATATGGTGCAAAATAGATAGAGAAGCTGGTTCTACGTCATACTGCGGTCGTGTCTAGGACACGACATTGACATTGTAAATGTTAAATAAATAGTGTTTATTTTTTTATTTGAGACACTTTACTACTAAAAAGTGCATTCGTATCTATAGTGTATCTTTCTAACCATTGCACAGTGGGGAAAAAAAATCGACATAAAAGGAGTAAATGCTTATGCAAATGTTTATGGAAATTTTAAATGATTATTTTCTATGATTTTCAGAAAAAAATGCTATTATGTAACTTCAAAACAGAAATTTCTCCTACCCGATGGTGTTGTTGGATTCCGTGGGCGGTTCGCACGTTAAGGGCCTAAAAATGTTGTTAACAAAAGTGTACAGGCCCTTTTATAATGTTACGCGAGCTATACACATAGAGTAAAATGATACTATTTTGACAAAATTCCACAACATTCTGAGACCCTTCGGTTCATTTTGTTCGATAGTTAAAAATAATCCCCGACATTCATTCCTGGTATACATTTAAAACCTTCATCCAATGAATTTAACCTCGAGCTCTTTTTTGACATTATGACATGCAGTAGCATAAAGCGTAAGAAATCCAATGCAATTAGCATGTTTCCCCATTTATGTGCGCTTAATGCGGTCTTGTGTATACTGTGTGACATCGGATCATATTTTACGATGTCAAACGCGACACACTTCGTTATGCGAGCGTACAGTAGCGCAGGCATGGGACCATTGAAACCAAGACAAAAAATCGACCGAGAATGGATCGTGCACATTATAAACGAAATTAACATGACATATTGCTATTTTTTATGTGTCGCTTTTCGTTGCAAAAACTGTCACTTAATATAAATGATACTCTACTGCTGACATTTTTTCCTTTTCCCATTCTCGCATGACAACTTTCTCCTCCTCTATGACACCTCGGTACATGCCTGTCAGCATCGGCGATGGCGCTGGCCTTCAACACCGGAGATGGGGTCTCCAACGATGGGTTGAGTACTCAAACCCCATCCCACCTGTGCTCTCACGGTACCCTATCACTCAGCAGCTGCCAGCTTGGAGCGAGAGGGAAAACCTGGCAAGATAACGCGTGGTGTCAGAACGTTAAGCTAGCCGGTGACATGAGTTTTCCCCTATCCTGTCACTGTTATGTGTTTTTCATTTTTGGTGTTAACGTGCATATTGGCCGAAAAATGACAAAATTGATTTAATCTTGGGCCCACCATGTAGACGTCGCAGACAGCTTTTGACTTAATTAAAAAAAAAATCGTATTTCGAGTATTGGTAAATTTACTCAACCCATTACAAAAGAATGTATGATTTTTCCGAATCCTACAACCCTCGTTTATAAAAGTAACTTGCAAACAACGAAAACAATAGACAAGCATCAAAGGGCAACCACCACTTAACCTCCTGGCCTGGCACGCTTGTAAAAATGTACAATTCCCACACCACTACCGTCCGCCTAGTGATGCTTGTTTGTGTGAATGAAACGAGGTGTAAAACCGCCAACAACAAAGAGATCCGAAGCAGCGAGCGGCCATAATAAATTTGACGTCACATACATCAACACGTTGCAATCATGGCGAACCGTGAAAGCGCATGTTCCAATCGAAACTTACCAGCTGTGAAATGATCTTCTTCTGCGAGTGGGTTTCGCTCTTTTGCTCTCCGATGGTCGTAAACAGCCCAGTGTTGAAGTTCTCTTCAGAGTGCGCCATGTGCTTCGTGGAGCGAGATCATCATAGTGCTCGGGTAGTGGAGTGGGGTTGCTACGATACCACTACATTGCCACAGCCAACTGTTTTCCTCGTGATAGCATGGAGTTCTGAGGAAGGGGGTCGTTTTTGGGTGGCTCCAGACTGTTTATGTCTCACACCCCATTTGAACGCCTTTTTCATGGAGCTCTATACCGACCAAAAGAGCAACGCGGATACCCCTCGAAAGCAAGTGTATTTGTAATATCTCGCTGGTTTTTCTCGCGGAGGCAGTGAATTCTCCGATGGCGAGAGTAAGCTTGGCGAGAGATTCCCTAAACGGCTGAGAGCGAGCGGAAAAACTAGTAGTCGAATGTTTTTGTTAGTCGCTGTCAGTTATTGTGATCGTTTAGAGGCGCACAAATGTTATTAATCACTTTTGCATGAAGCTCGCCACACCGGTCGTGGTACGTGTTTTGAACTTAATTCGCCAAACCCGTTCCGTCTGTTGAGTCGAGTTTTGACGGTTCGTTGCGAGTTCAAAGTTTGCGCGCGGACATTCGCTGTCTCTATCTCCCATTGGTCAGGTTCGCGTGACCATCGCCACCGTTGTACCCACTGGATGGTGTGAAATGAACACATGCGACGGTTGAGTGTAATCCTCGGCGGTACCACTATGGGCAATGAAGCCCTTATGATTGCTGGATTGTCTCTTGGACTATTGTTCGCACTCAAGTGTGAATGTAATGTGTAACATAGGCTCTTATGGGCTCATTTGTTGAATTTATGAGCGCACTTCCCCCTTCGAGGCAATTGGTGATGATTTGAGCTGATAGCTTTTATTGTCATCGACGGATAGCAGTTTATGGTCGCATTCATATCGCCGACTCGACGATCTGTGGAAAATTGAAACGAGTATAGTTATGAATGAATTAAGTATAAGTTATTATTGTTCGGAATCAGGCAAAGTATAGCGGCGAAAATTGTCCGGTGGAAAGAATTCAGACAAAATAAAATAATGGATAAATTTACATAACTTCAACTAAATGTGGATTTATTGCATCTAAATGGATATAAATCTAGCTCAGGGGATTATAATTCAGTGATTTATGCAGTTTTTATTCGGTGTGTTCCACTTTATTTTCGGCTACCTTACTCTCGCTCTTGCTGGATACCGACCTTTATACAATGAGAAAAAAAACCGACATCCAGTGGAAAATATTGCTCTCTGCAGTGTGAATAAAATTATGGCCGTGATTACTGCTACTTATAAATTTATGCATTTTTCCTCGGGCCAGAGAGCACCGTGATTTAATGTTTTTTTTTGTTACTGCTGCATAGCTGTGTGAAAATATTGGGCCATAAATTGGATGCGCTTCATTATAGTTGTTGTGTTCAGCAATTGATGCACTCATCATGAAGTACGAAGTCATAAAAAGCGAAGTGAAAGCAAAAGTGACAAATAAACATCAACAGAAAGGAAAGCAAATCAACGTTATTGCAGTGTGATTTATGAAAATTACTACGACTATACGAGTTGGGTGTTGTTTACGCTTGGAGTCTCTGATAAGCGGATTAATTATAATTTCTTGTCAAACAACTGTCTACAGAAAGCAAGCGATACTAATACCAAGTGAGCCGACAGATAGTGAGAAAGATCCGGTGTGTAAACCAGATCATCGTCGTAACCAAAGAAGAAAAGAAGCAGAGCAAAATCCGATCCTAAAAGTTGACTGCTAGCGCTGGCAGTTGCTCGCTGATAAACGTGGTGCTGCAACACAGAAACTACCACAATGTTGACCTCAAGTAACCAGTATATTCGGCCGGAATATCTTTCTCCGATTCCCACCACGGTGAGTAGATAAAAGTCAATGTTTGTTTCAGTGAGTGTGATTTTTAATTCACGAGAAATCGGCAACTTATTGTTTTTAAAAGCAGTTGCGCCCTAATCTCAAATAGCTCCGGAAATGCATATGCTATTTGCATTATAATTTAAATTTAGTAGTAAAATTACGTTTATTTTCCATTGATGATGATATTACATTGTTCATACATTCCGATTGATTAACGTGAAGGGCACTTCATCTTTGATTAATTACGTGTTTACGTTTTTCAACTAGTTTACAAGATACCCCTTTGGGGTGTGTTTTGCTTGAATTAAAAAATTATTTGATAACCTACCTAGCTACTAATCACTTAACCTAATTATCACGATTCCATATGATCTCGTGATTTGATCTCAGGTAGGCGTTTCCGAACCTTTCGAAGATGAGCGTACTCCGCTCCTCCAGTATCTGAAGACCAGCCAGGCGGTGGATCTCAGAATTTCGAGTTCGCGGGGACTCTTGAGGATCATCCTAAGGATCTTGTTCTGAATCCTTTGGAGTTTGAGTTGATGGCACTTAGGGGCTGTTCATTAACTACGCAGACAGTTTTTTTTTGGATTCTTGACCTCCCCTCCCCCTGCGTAGACAATACAGTCAATACATTTTTTTTTTAATTTGTATGAGGCGTGGATAATTGCCACCCCCTCCCCTCCCTAAACTGTCTACGTAGTTTATGAACAGCGCCTTAGCACAGGTCTCCCATATTAGCGTTCCGCACTCAATGGCGGGGCGGATGATTTGCTTGTGGACGGCAAGCTTGTTTTTAATGGAAAGGGTGGACTTTCTGTTGATAAGTGGATAGAACGATCTAATCAAGATGTTGCACTTGGTGGATGATTTGTCCACATGGTATCGGAACAGCAACTTGCTATCAAAGGTGAGACCAAGGTACATGACTTCACTTGTCCATTCAATGGGAGTACACTGGAGTCGCTTTTTACGCGGTTTTTTACACGGTCTTTTACGTGGTTTTTTTTTACACGGATTTTGGAATTAACGCGGATTTCGGAATTTACACGTTTTTTACGCGGATTTTGACATTCACGCGATTTATCGTTATACACTAGAGTCACTTTTTACGCGGTTTTTTTACACGTTTTTTACGCGGTTTTTTACGCAAATTTCGGAATTTACGCGGTTTTTTTTTACGCGGCACGTATCCCCGCGTAAAAAGCGACTCCAGTGTATTATCAAGGTGGACTTTTAAGTTACAAGGCGGGACAAGCCGAAGTGAATTGTAGTACGGAAATTGTATGATCTGTGTTTTAGCTGCATTGATACAAATCTTCCAGCTTTTGAAATAGTCGGACAGAACATCCAGGCCTGATTGGCGTTTTCTCGTCAGAGCACGGATCACTCGACCCTTAAAGATGATATCAGCGTCACCCGCAAACAAAATACCACGATCCGGAAGGGAAGGAACATCTGACGTGAAGATGTTGAAGAGGATAGGATCGAGGAGGCTACCCTGGGGAACTCCAGCATCAACGTTGAACGTATCAGAAGGTGAATTGTTTAAGAGGACTTGAAATGATCTGCCCGACAAGGAAGATCGGGTAGTTGTATGGATGTAGCTTGTACACGAGGCCATCATGCCAGACATTGTCGAACGCCTTTTCGACGTCCATCAATGCCATGGCAGATGTATTGGAAACGAACTTGTGATAATGTTAGTAGCCCTTGCGAGTTCGTGGATGGTAGAATGGCCTTTCCTAAACCCGAATTTCTTTTTGAGAAAGATGTTATTGTCATTTGAAAACACCAGCAGACGGCTGAGTATCAACTTTTCCAATAGCTTCGAGATGGAGGACAAGAGGCTGATGGGGCGATAGCTTTTGGCACTGGTAGGGTCTTTTCCAGGCTTGTGGATTGGAATGACTTTGGCTAACTTCCAGCATGCCGGGAAGTAACCAAGCACCAAACACTTATTGAAGACCGCTGTAAGGTGCTCGAAGAAGTCAACACTCAAGTTTTTCAACTCGAGGTTTACCACTCCATCGGCACCAGCGGCCTTCATGTTCTTGGTTGATTTATTCGCTGCTGTCATCAGCCGATATTCTACTTCCGTCCGGGACAACTACGGGGGTGACAACGACTCTAGACAATACTGCAGGCTCATAGGGACTCACCATGGCTTGGCCAAGGTTATGTGAATTCACAAAGTGTTGACCAAGAGCATTGGCCTTTTAAACTAGGGTTATGAGTAAGGATGGATCGAATTCTGATGAGGAGAGGAAAGGGGAGGGATGGGCCTTGGCTTATTTTTAAAAATCTTTGCCGTTTTCCAGAATGGCTAAGCACAATCTGGGAGACAGCGGATCTTGTTTGCAAAATCGATGAAACTTTGGCCTCAAGCAGGGTAGATCATTTTCAATAACACCTTATATTTCTCGCGTAACATTTGAAAAGGGCCTATCCTCATTGATCGATTCTCTTCATCGACATTCTCTTTAGTTTACCATGGCTACTTAAATTAATTTCTCGTTAAGCTCGCAGCATAGTTCGACAGAAAATGATGTTAGCTTGCGCCTGAAACAACACATTCAAAGAAAAATTCATTTGCAGTCAGGTTATTCGCGAAAGAGAAAATCGATGAAGCGAATCGATCAACAATGATAGGCTTTTTTCTCGTGTTGCGCGAGATTTCTTTGATTTTTATTTGGTATTCTTTGAATCAAGTTGCAAATTGAGATATTAAGATCCTAAATAGAGGTTTACATGTTTTTTTTCAGTCAAAGACTGTCTATGATACTGTAAAAAAGTCTCAGTATTTAATCTCAGTATGATACAGTAAAAATCTCAGTATGGTAATGATAAACTTATGTCTTCGAAAACATCCAATATGGTGGTCAAATTCAATATGGCCGCCAAAAATTCTGAACATACGTTTCCCGTTCGAATGGTAACCATTTTGCTTTTTCTGAAGCATATTAATAGATGTATTGATTTAAATCATCCAAGAATTGAAGAACCTAGAAACATTAGTGGGCGAGTTTCAGCGAGAACTTTTTCTATGATAGGTAGAAGATGATCCAAGCTTTTAAGCACTGCTTTAAAGTTTGTACTAGGAATGGCATGAACCAGGTTTTGAATCATATTTACTCACTTTCCTTGGAGCGTGCTGGACATGTTTTGACAGTTTTTATTTTCCTCGAATTATTCGATTGCAAAGAGTTTGAGGTTGGTATTGATAGTTTACAAAGTGGTCAACGGGATTACTATTGATGGAATGGTTATTAGTGCAATTTTGTTTTTGGTTTTTAGAAAATACAGAACATAAATACACTCAGTAGCTAATGGATATATGTCAACATAACGGATGCTTATTCAGTGAAGTTTTGGTGGTAAGTACTTCAAGATTTGTTAATATTTGAACTGTTCTCCATTTCTTGGTTTTCAGTGGGTTGAAAGACTGAATTACGAACAATGTATTTGTTTTGACCTGACAAATGTGGATTTGGCAGCAAAAACATGAACAAAATTGGGTCTTGAAACTCTTCTGGATACACAGTATCACCGTACGCTGTTTCATGTGACGTGGGTGCATCGGCAGCCATCTCCCCGGTCTTCACAGGTTGCATATTTCCTGCAATGAATTTTTTTTATCCTTGGTTCGTTTTCCGTCGATCTGGTTTTCCGTACTAAGTACCAATGCTACTGACGCCAGGGACGCAGCTAACACACCTGGATACTACTTATCGACTCATCAACACATGGACCGGGGAGCAATCGCTTTAATTCCCTTCCCACATCCGAAGGAAAGTGCGATCAGAGATTTTATGCCTCAGAAAATCCCGACGGCACCGAGTGCGATTGAACATCTTTGGAGTGAGAGGCAGTCACGCTTACCGCTACACCACCGCTTACCGCTGCACTGGATGTTGCTTGGGCATTCGATTGTTAGTTGACAGCATTATACATTTCCGGCCATGCTTTGGATTATCTACACCATACGGAGTGCTGTGAGGGCAGCCGAGCAGAGCGGTCGCATGTTCTCACGTGTGATAATTTGATTAAATTAGTTTTTCGCATATTTCGCCCCACAATTATGGATCACCCACAATTATGGATCACTTTCCATTTGATTAACACGCTAGACTGACTGATCCATAATTGTTTTTAGTAGGGTCAGTGTACGTTTTTATCTCGATTGAGTTTTTTGGTTTTGATATTGTGAACCGGTGATCGGATTTTATTAGTTCCGGGCTCAGTTCGCTGTAGTTTAATTCAGTCTAATTGATTTAGTTTTTGTTTTTTTTTTTCACATTTTTCATAATACATTCTTTCATATTAATTTAACAATAATAAATGATTAAATATCCAACGAATAAATTTTATTCTTATACAAATTGTCAATCCCTTTCTTATATTTTAAAACAGTAGTAAATAAGACGAGCTATTTCAACACATAAAATGCTTTCCACATCTCATCACTAGGTACCTACCGCTAGCAAAAATCGAACAAAACAACAATCCATCAGCTCATGGGAACGATGTCAAAGCACTTTTCTGGAGTGAATATATTATTCCATTCATTCTAATTAGCAGAAATGTAATCTATCCCCGTCCGAATGGTAGCGCAATTTTTTAATGACATATTGCGTTGCTCTTATAGTTATTATTATCATTTTTACCGCTCGTAGGTACTTGCCTCCTTTTCCCAGCGCACGAGGAGAAACGGTTGAAGAGTCGTCGACGAGAACGCGCGGTGCAACTGTCTGTCAGATGGCAGTCAGAGTGATTTATGGGATCGCTACAGCACATTTACTCCCGAGATCGTTTGTTATCATCCATCACAACGACAGGAGAATGGCGTGCAGAGTGGGCCATCGGTTTCACTTTTTCGTTTCGGGTGGGCACTAAAAGCATGGGGAAGGCAATTTTTGCTTCAGGAAATGCTGATTAAAATGTTTATTCTTATTAACAACCGCTCGCTAGTATTTGCCAAGCTTTTCGTCAATCAAGCT